ATTGTCCATTCTAATATCTGTGTCTTGATTGGAGAATTTAGTCCATTTACATTCAAAGTAATTATTGATAGATATGTATATATTGCCATTTTATTATTTTGTTTTGTTTCTGGTGATTTCTCTGATACTTTCTTGCCTTCATCATTTTCAGTCTCTCCTTTGCACTCAAAAAATCCCTTTTAATATTTCTTGTAGGGCTGGTTTAATGATAATATATGCCTTTAGTGTTTGTTTGTCTGGGATACACTTTATCTCTCCTCTATTCTGAATGATAGCCTTGCTGATAGAGTATTCTTGGCTGCAAACTTTTCCCATTTGGCACTTTTAATTTGTCATACCACTACATTCTGTCTTGCCAAGTTTCTGTTGGGGAATCTCCAGCTAGACTTATGGGTCTTCCCTTGTAGGTTAAAGACTTTGTCATGCTGCTTTTAACGTTTTTTCTTTATCACTGTATTTTTCAAATTTAATTACAATATATCTTGTTACTGGCTTGCTTTTGTTGATTTTAATGGAAGTTCTCTGTGCCTCTTGGATCTAAATGCCTGTTTCCTTCTCCAGATTTGGAATATTTTCAATTATTATTTCTTCAATTAAATTTTCTGTCCTCTTTTCTCTGTCATTTTCTTCTGGGACATATAGATAGCACAGATAATTTTTAAGAAAGTGAATGTCCACCTACATTTCTAGAGACAGGAAATTTGAAGTTAGTTAATTTTTAGATATATGCACACTCATTTTTAATTTTTGTGATTATAAGTTTAGTGTAAGTCTCCAATCTTGATTTTTTTTTTTACCCAAATACATTTCTTTTGACTCAGGCAGAAATACAATATCTGCTTATAGATTACACTTATAATCATAAAATTATTTGAATTAGTAATTAAATAAATTGCCAGAAAATCCCATGCATCAAGTAGTTTTAAGATTGATTTATTTTAAAGAGAGAAAGAGACAGGACAAGGGAGGGGCAGAGAGAGAGGGAGAGAGAATATTAAGCAGGCTCCACACCCAGCATGGAGCATGATGAGGAGCTTGATCTCAGAACCCAGAGATGATGACTTTAGCCAAAATTAAGAGTTGGATACTTAACCAACTAACCCACCTGGATACTCTTATTTTAAACTTTTAGACAAAATTCACGGGAAAATGATATATCCTTTTTAGAGACTAGAACACAGAACAGAACATAAGTTAACTAATCCTTCAGATCATTTAGTAACATTTAAAAATATTAATGTACCTTTAATAGAGGCCAAGTAAAATATGAGAAAGGGGAATTATAGGTCCTTTCACTTAACTAAAATATTTAAAAAGTGAATGTAGCAAATAATTATAGAATATTATGACCAAGTAGATTTTCTCTGTTAAAGTCTTAATAGTAGAAAAAATTATTAAACTACCACACTAACATATTCTTAAATATCAATAAATGTATCCAAAAGAGCATTTCAGAAAATTACTCACACATTCATACATACATATTCACCAAATATGTACATAATACTCCTCTTTGGAAGAGAATGGCCTCAATGTGTTTAAATGGCTCCAGGGAACAAGGGAACATCAACCAAAGCTATAACTAATATCACACTTAATGTTTTACACATTATATAATTCTATTTTAGGATCAGAGTAACACAGAGGTGCGTATTATTTCCATTTTATTCAGTAATTTAAAATATAAAAAGTTAAGAAATATTTAAAAAGTAGGGTTTAAAAGATAAGACATAGATCAGCTATCACATAGACCATGGTTCTGCTTTGAGTAACTTTGTTATATGGTGATGTCATTACCTACCTAAGATCCATAATTTAGAAGGGAATTACACAGATTTATTCTCAAACAATAGAAAGAGGAGGGATACTAAAGAAGTAGTACTTAAATCAATTTGTTTTCCATTTCATTTGCATTTATACAATTTTAGCAATAGCCATTGTGAAATAAATGATTTGGGGGGCATCTTTATGCCAGTAAATCTCTGAAAATTGCAACTTACTTTTGTCCTTCAGAAAGCATCCTTAAATTTTAAATGATTAGGAAACATTTTTTAGAAAACCTAACTATTACATCAAAATGGACAAATGCTAAATATTAAAAAAGTGAAACATCACGGGTAAGCTGATGCAACTACAACAATATCAGATAAAGAAACACTTCAAGAAATGAAAGATACCTTAATGATAATTTATCCTGAAGATATCACCATATTAAATATGTTTTATACCAACAATAGAGTTCTAAAATATGTAAGGTCAAAAACTACAGACGAAAGGAGAAAGAAATAATATCACAATAATTTAGGGAGATGTCAACAAACCTTTTTCAATAGCTGCAAACTTGCAGAGGACTGAACATGAGAAGGTTTAAAATGACTTATACAGAAAACTGTACTCTAATGACAAAATTCATATTCTTTGCAAATGTGGAAAATTTACCCTTATTAACAACGTGCTATGCTATGAAGAACAGGTATGTATTATGATGATGTCACAGATTAGATTCTTTGGGATAGAGTATTTGAGAAGATTCCTGTGAAGGCAGTTTATTAGAGTATGCTCTTGTGATGAACCCCTGTGAAAGGGGAGGGGAGGAAGTCAGAAGGGGATGGAGACTCAACTGGGTCTCAGCAAAATGTGAAGCTTGCATTGCCTATCAGTATTTGGAGTTGGGATGAGGGGACTTCTAGGTAAACGTGGGTTGTCTCAGAAAGTTGTGACTTGGTCAGAGGTGACCCTCTGTAGCTGAGGCAATTCTCAAAGAAGACATGGAGAAGAAATATGTTCTTACAGTTAGGAGATACTTCTTTTAATCTGAAAAGGGGATCTGTCCTGTATTCTTTCTCTCTTCTTTTCACCTTCATTATTTCCCATAACTTTATCTTCTGTATCACATAATCATTATATCCAGTCAATTTCAAGTCTTGGTTATCACTTTTTTCATTTTGGCCTTACTGGTTTTTAGATCTTTTATTTCTGTGATAAGGGAATTCTTGGTGTCTTCTATGCTTTTCTAAAGCCCAGCTAGTATCCTTATGATTGTTGCTTTAAATTCTGATCAGGTATATTATTTATATCTTTTTTGATTAGATCCCTGGCCATGGCCTTTTCTGTTTTTTTCTTTTGGGATGAATTCCTCCATCTTGGCATTTTGTGTAGGCCTCTGTCTTCTCTGTGTTAGAAAACTTGTTATGTTTCCTGCTCCTAAGAGTAATGGTTTTATGAAGAAGAGACCATATGCTGTCCAGGGCCTGCCACTTCAGGAAGTGTCTCTGGTGTACGCTGCATGTACTCTGCTGTTGTGTTTTGGCTGCTCTTTCCCTCAGGTCAGTCCTCTGCAGAGCTTTTCCTTGCCTGCAGTGGGCGGTGTTTGGACCTTGGCCAGAGCATGGCAAGTTTTGATTAAATGTGCACTGGTTTGCTTGTTAAAAGAGACCTAAGAACTAAAGCTTGTAGGACCCTATGCTCAATAGGTATGGTATGTGCAAGGGCTTGTGCTAGTCTTCTTGAGGATGGGCCCACTGATCTGGTTCTCAGGTGCAGTGGCCTGAGAAAGGCGGCACCTGTAGAGCTCAAGGGGGCGGGGCTTGGTGTAAGAGCTTCAGGCAGACAGTGTTGGTGGTGTGCTGCTTATTGAAGTAAGTTTATGCTGAAGGGTGGGAGAGAGAAATGGCACCAGCCAGCTCTCTTGTCCCTAGAGAGAGGAGTTGACACCTGCTGCTTCCTGGAAGAGCAAACAGTCTTCCATCCTGGTTCCAGGCATCCCTCAGAATGCTGCCTTCACCCTGTCTGTGTCGGGCCACCTGCCAGACTGGCAGCACAGTGCACCTTGGGGTCTATCCAAGGCAGGACAGCTGAGTTTTAAAACTCCAAACTTTAGAGATATGGGCTTCTGTGGACCCAACCACGCTGGTCCTCTGGCGGAGGATCTTGCTGTTCTGGGACTGATGCAGATTCGTCCCAGAAGGGCAGTCACAGCCAAAGCACAGGGGTGCAGAATTTGGAGTAAAGTGCAGCAGTCTGTGATAGGTGTCCTCAGCATCTATGCTGAGGGGCCAGGGAGGGTAATGGTGCCCACTGGTTGTTCCCTAGAGGGGCAATGCTCTCTCTCCTATATGCACTCCAAGAAGGGGAATGGTCTCTCCCTGTGCATCCTGGGGATCCTCATATGGCAATGTCTGTTCCTGGGCTCTCCACCCTCCTTCTCCACAGGAGCACTGCACCCTCAGGTTGCACACTCTAAGACTCCAGTCTTTGAGCCCTGCTGGTTGTAAAACCTTCTGAAAATCAGTCCCTCTCATTTTGCCAGTCAATGGTTTTGGGAAAATGTTTTCCTTGCGCTATCCCCTGTGTGCTCCTCTCTCTGTCTCGCTTCCCTCTGTGACTAGGGCTTCCTCCCTTCTGCAGCACCTGCAGTCCATTTCTCCCCCAAACCACACCTTCACACCTCCTACCTTCCACAATGTGGCCTCTTTCCTCTAGTCCTGCAGTCCTCAGATGATTTCTTGGGTATTCAGAGTGATTGGTTAGTTATCCATCAGTGTTCGGGATGAGGCAAGCCTAGGGTTTTCCGACTTCTGTGACATCTCAGTTTCACACAACCTGTGTAGTAGTCTTTAATTTTCAATTTATTTGGGCTAGAAATCAGAAAGTAGAAAAAAGTTAATAAAATTTATTTCGGAAGATTACTCAGCATTTCTAAATGTAACCATTTTAAATTAAAATTTCATATGATGATAAATGCTAATAACTAATTCTCTTAGTTTTGGAAGAGTTAACTCCTAATTGTATTTAAATTTAATTATACTTAATTCTGTCACATTCCAAGACTGAAGAAAGATAGTAATATATATATATATGTTATATACTTTTATATAAAATTTTGAGACATTTGTGATACCATTTGTTTACATGAATGAGTACTGACATTTAAAAAATTGTGGCTTTTGACTTAAGAATTTTAGATTTCTGCTAATTACTTTCTGAATACTTTATTGTAGGTCACTTATGCCATCAAAATTGACAGGGAAACCTATACTCTCCATCTTAAAAAACAGTAAGTGGTCATTTTTCTTTTCATGCCCTTCTTTGTTGTTTCTTTTTTTCTAAGATTTGATTTATTTATGAGAGAGAGAGAGAGAGAGAGAGAGAGAGAGAACAAGTGGCGGGGGGGGGGGGGCGCAGAGGAAGAAGAAGAAGCAGGCTCTGTGCTGAGCAGGGAGCCCAACATGGGCCTCTGTCCCAGGACCCTGAAGTCATAACCTGAGCTGAAGGTAGCCACTTAACCAACTGAGCCACCTAGGCACCCCATTCTTTTTCATTACTTAGATTTTTTTTTTAAAGATTTATTTACTTTATTTATGATAGACGTAGAGAGAGAGAGAGGCAGAGACACAGGAGGAGGGAGAAGCAGGCTCCATGCCGGGAACCCGATGCGGGACTCGATCCCGGGACTCCAGGATCGCGCCCTGGGCCAAAGGCAGGCGCTAAACCACTGAGCCACCCAGGGATCCCCTCGTTACTTAGATTTTTAAAATTAGTACTCTACATTGAGTCTAAAGAGCATGATCATTGTATTTATTTAATATGTTATATCTTTGTGATTTATGACAGATTAGAATTTCAACCGTCTTCCTCTTGAGATTTTAAATCTAATATTGAAGCCAAATTCTAATGTAATGATATAAATATTAATGTATATTAGATAAATTACAATTATTCTATGCAATTTCTTGAAATATAACTACAATAACATTCGGAAAATAATTTTATTTGTATGTTTAATTTTGTCTTCATGTCATTTTATATACCTATGTAATTTTAAGCATTCTACTTGGTAATACACCATAATTTTTTCTCATCTTGGTATAATATAGAATTTAATCTCTTAAATTTTGTGTTCTTTAATTTTTCTGTTTGAGGAAACCAATATTAATAATCTTTGGTGTATATTTTCACCATTTTCTATTCTAAATTTCATCTCTCCCTTAAATGAACCTATCAAAAGAGTTTATTTTTACACAAATGGAAATACTGTTTTGTCACTAGCAGATCTTATTTAATAATGGTGTTCATTTTCTTGCTATATATATTTTAACTCATTCTTTAAGAGATAACATTTCACTGTATGTAATATTAATAATGAGTTTCATTCCAGGAATTATTACTATAGAGTCCTGCAACAAACATCCTTGTATGTATATTCTTATGTAATAGAGATTTTGTTTTGTAGACTTGATATCAAGAAATGGGTTTCTGAGTCAAGAAGTATGAATGATAGTAATAATAATAACAACAACAAAAGTAACTGACATTTATAGAGCACATACCAGTTGCCAGGAACCTATTTTTTTCATCCCTCCCTCCCCCCCTTCCTCCCTCCCTCCCTTCCTTTTTTTTTTTTTTTTTCCAGAGAGAAAGAGAAAGCGAGTGTGTGCACACGTGGTGGGGGCAAGGAGGAAAAGAGGTAGAGGGAGAGAGGATCCTAAGCAGACTCCATTCTCAGTGTGGAGCCCAGCACGGGGCTATGTCTCATGACCCTGAGATCACAACCTGAGCCAAAATCAAGAGTTGATCCCTTAACCAACTGAGCCACCCAGGCACTCTTTGCCAGGCATGTTTCTAAGCAGTTTGCATGGAGGAACTGATTTAATTTTCACAACAACTTTCTTTATTACTCACATTTTGTATTAGGATATTGAGAGATATATTTTCAGTTTCTGAAATCAGTTTAGATTTTCAAAAGTATGTGAGATATGCTAAAATATTATATTGCATCTTTGTACCAATTTATATTTCCCTCAATAACTTCTCTAAACAATTATTAGCCATTTGCATTTTCCTCCTTCCTATTCAATATTTATTTTTCAGAGCAGTTTTAGGTTCACAGTAAAATTGAGGGGAAAGTATAGTTTCTGTGTACCGCCTGACCCCACACATGCATGTCCTTTCCTGTAATGAACTTGCCCCACCAGAGTGATACATATGTTATAATTCATGATCATTATCACCCAAAGTCCATAGTTTATATTAGTCCCAAATTTTTTACATTGACATTTTTTTTGGTTAAAAATAAAAAGGAAAATTCTGAGAATATAAGCAATTAGGTTTTCACCATGAATGACACACATGTAAGAATTTTGTTTATATATTTTTCTAGAAAGTGTACATGGTAGGTAATAGTGAAATCTATTATTCCTATCCTTAGACATATTCAGTTCTTTCACTCCCCAGTGCTAATTATAGTTGTGATACTGACACATACTGTCATATTTTTTTTCATTCATCTGTATGCCTAGAGTTCAATATGAATCATCATGTTTTGAGTATTACCTTAAATAAACATAAATGGCACAATACTCCTTTATATAATTTATTTATCTGAATATGGTGGGCCACTAAGGTGACCCCAATTCTTTACTTCTTTCTGTATCTTCAATCTTTGCCATAAAACTTTGAGTTCTTACCTTCAAGAGGTGGAACATAGGGGTGCCTGGTGGCTCAGTGATTGAGCCTTTGCTTTCAGCTCACCTTGTGATCCTGGAGTCCTGGGATCGAGTCCACCCTGGAAGATTAGTCCCTTGCTCAAATTTCATAAGCTAAATGATTTCTATAGACAAACTTCATATAAGTGGTACCGAAGTGTCATCTTGCAGAGAAGATAGTGATTGTCATGGAACAGCCTGACACCATTATTTATTGATGGGAGACTGGGATTCTTAAGGATTCCAAACACCAAGGGGCAGTTCAGGGCCAGAATGAAAGAGAGACCAGCACATTCATGGAGTGTGCACTTTTACCCCTTCTCATTTCAGATCTGCTTCTTCATCTTTTATCATTCCTGACAGCTCTTCCTTTCCTCAATTCAAATAACAAAACTAGAGAGCTTCCCAGAAAAAAAAAATACTGCTATTTATCAGACCATATCCCACATGTATTCAGGGACAATGCTGAGTGGCTTGGGTTGCTTTAGGTGTGAGTACCTGGAATATGGTCAGAGCCATATTTTGTAACTAAGCATGTCAATGGAGGTGGTGGAAATGGGAATCCAGGAAAAAGAAATTCAACAGATTCCTGACAAGCATAATTAAAAAGATAAAACTTAGTCTTAGTCAATAGAGAGAACAAATTTTGTAGTAAAAAACACAGCCAAAATAGAGATTTGAAAATAGTTGGAGGAAAACTATACTATAAAGAGGGCAGATCCATAAGACCCAGGAATAAACTATAGATTTCCATATTTTTTTTGATTTCCATAAAATTTTAAAAAATATGCAATGATTTAAAATTAAAATGAAAAATTAAGGGATTTATCACGTTAGGGAAGATGAATGTAAAACCACACATGTACGCATGCACATGTACTCAAATGTACAAAACACACACTAGAAAACTGATATAAGATGAATTATTTCATGTATTATAAAATTAATAGCAAAGGAATAGGACTCAAAATTCTACATACTGCCAAGATGTTATTCAGTTATTCAGTTCAGTTATTTTGTTCTGAGAACAAAAGGTACATTTGCATATTTCTGCACAGATCCAGAAAACATGCCATTTGCATAGTCTATCTGAAGAGAACAATGTGAAAGTAGAATAAATATACAATAATCAAGTCAGCATAAAATCACAAATAAAAAAAGAAGCAGTGGTAAAATTTGGAAAATGCAATACAGTTGTAAAATACTGAAAGATTTTACATCTTAAATATAAAATAATTTTTAATACTATCAGATTATGATGCAAGTTCAGAATATGAGAGACATGAGAGAAATCTGAAAACCTATAAAAATAATGAACATATGATTACATAAAAATTTCACTTTTATAGCAATGAATCCCACAAAGATGGATGGGGGAGGACAACAGGCTGGGCAGTGTTTGTGCAACATATAGAACAGATAAAGGGTTGACGTCTACAGTAAATAAAAATTCCCACAATTTAATCTTGAAGAAAAAATTTAAACAGATAAACCATGGATTGACAATAACTCGAAACAAATGATTAAAACTAAAGACCCAAGGAAAAAACAAAACATTGGAAACGAAATTCAATTAGTGTAGTCAGTGAATATTCAAAAAGATACTCCTAAACAACAATTAAAACATATTAAAAGCATTATTTAAAGCAGAATAAGGGGTGCCTGGATGGCTCAGTCAGGCTAAACATCTGCCCTTGACTCAGGTAATAGTCCTGGGATCAAGACCTCAGTCAGGCTCCCTGCTTGGCAGGGAGACTACTTCTCCCTCTCCCTCTGCAGCTCTCCCAGCTTGTGGTCTCTCCCTCTCTCTCAAATAAATAAATCAAAATAAGATCTTTAAACAAAAATAAATAAAGCATAATAAAGCATTAGCATATATTAAAATGCCTTACAATAGCATTTCTCATCCATTAATTAACAAAAAAAATAAGTGAAGATACTAATTTTGTTGATAAGATAGAGAACAAAAATGCTTTTGAATGATTGACAAAAGCAAAAACTGGTATAAACCCTCAAGTAAAAGTGGGTGGTATATAGCACTCTTGGGAATTGTATCATTTATAACCCATCAATTTCACTGGTGCCCAGGAAGTCATGGCCAAGGATATCCACAATACACCTTTTCTTGCTATAAATATGAGTGAATAAATAATAAATGAGATATATTTATTTGATAGTTATATATTTAAAACTATCATTTTGTACACATCAGTATGAATGAATCTTGAAAAATATTATACAAACTGTTGCACAAAAAGCACAACCCCAAAAAACAGAACCACACACATTAACATAGTAAATATCTCTGCTCACACTTCTTTCTGGGTTATGTGTGAGTAACAATAGTAGTTCTGCTAATGGTGACCAGGCTTGCTTGCTCAATGGTCTAGGATTCGTTCATTCAGGTAGATTCTGGATTCATTCATTCAGCTGAATGTTGACTGATCTAGGCATGATTAGGGCATCTTGACGGTGCTCCACTTGTCTCCATCTTCCAGAAAGCTGATCAAAGCATATTCTCATGGGGATGGCAGACAAACAAGATGAAAAATACAAAAGCAGGAGAGCTTTTTCAAAACTCTGTTTGAATCAAGTCAGCTAGCATCTTTTTGGCCAAAGTCACATAGCCATAGAATGGGCTGCATGATTTGCAGGGCCCACGATGAAATGAAAATATGAGATCTCTTTTTCAATAGTACTAAGAATCACAGAGCATCAATAGCAGAGCATTTAATCAAGGACAGGACACTTCTAACCTTGGGGCCCTGGGGGAACACAAACTCAGGAAGTTGGCTTTGCAGGCATAAACACAGATCCAAGACCTAGGGAGTGGGGAGGTTGGGGAAGATGTATATGTCCCCCCCCCTTTTTTTAAAGATTTTATTTACTGGGCAGCCCGGGTAGCCCAGTGGTTTGGCGCTGCCTTCCACCCAGGGTGTGATCCTGGAGACCCGGAATTGAGTCCCGCGTCGGGCTCCCTGCATTGGGCCTGCTTCTCTCCCTGCCTGTATCTCTGCCTCTCTCTGTGGCTCTCATGAATAAATGAGATTTAAGATTTTTTTAATTTATTCATGAGAGACACACAGAGAGGCAGAGACACAGGCAGAGAGAGAAGCAGGCTCCAGGCAAGGGAACCTGATGCAGGACTCTATCCCAGGACCCCGGGATCATGCCCTCAGGTTTCCTAGTCTTCTGCTTCGAAACAAAGGCTTTAGGAATTGTGTGCTTCTACAATTTTTTTTTTTTGCCTTCTGCTACAAAGAAAGGCATGTTCCAGGGGTAGAAGGTATGTCTTTTCCCAGGTTCCAGAATGAAGGCAGATGGAGCTGAACCTGCAATAAACTTGTGAAGAGCATTCACTGTTGTTTTGAGGCATTGAGAATTTGGAGCGTATTTTTACCATGGTATAATTGCATGGAAACTATTGGAAAAAGCATATTTTTTTCTTATCAACCTATGGCTATTTGTTAGCAAATATTAACTAACATATTTATGCAATGAGATCGATTGTTGAATCTAAAAGAAAACTTTGCCATGGGAATCAGGAAGTCCTGGTTTCTAGTATACATAAATCTATGTCATTATGATGTCCCTGATGCTATCTGATTATGCTGCTTATTATTTTTTCTTACATACAAATTATGCTATCAAAATGCAAATGAGATAATGGAGAGAGGGGACCATTTAATTTTTGGATATTTGAGCTTGTAAAATTGAATGAAAATTTTAATTTCATGACTCTGGTTTTGTTAATGTTACTATTACATGAAGTGTCATTACTTTGGTTGAATTAGGTCATTTTTAGACCCTCATTTCCTGGTGTATGCATACAACAAATTAGGAAAATTGTATCCAGATTCTTCTTTTGAAAAGGTAAGTTTTCTTTATGCTGTGTAGATTTACTTTTTTTGTTTTTTTAAAGATTGTGTTTATTCATGAGAGATAGAGAGAGAGAGACAGAGACACAGGCAGAGGGAGAAGCAGGCTCCATGCAGGAAGCCTGATGTGGGACTTGATCCTGGGACTCTAGGATCACACCTTGGGCCAAAGGCAGGCCGCCAAACCGCTGAGCCACCCAGGGATCCCCTAGATTTACTTTTTAAATATCATTAAGATACCATTGGCAAGAAGAAAAAGAATGCTTTCTACCTCACAGAATGGGCAATCAGATCAGAAGCCCAAATGTAACGTGGCTTTATTATGAAGGCAGATTGAAAGGAACAACTGCTTTTCACATTTGGAACTCAAGGAATCTTTTACGTAAAAAGGTCGTTTAAACTATCAGAAGTATTAGCAGGGGTCTGAGAGAGAGAGAAAGTGGGTTAAGGAGCTAAGAATAAGAAGCCCCTAAACACAGAGTCATTTAAACTGAAATGTCCTAGGACCTGAGCAATGGAGGAAGTGGTGGAAATCACTTTGCGGAAAGACCTAATAGAAAGAACCGCCTTATAGAAAGAGTAAGGATGTCAAAGCATATTGGGTACAGAATCTGAAGAAGTTCACATGTGAAACACAGGAGTTTGTATTGATCTGAAATTGCAGATAGGGTTCAAGAAATTTTTAAGTATCTGAGAAAATTAGTGAGTTATTTACTTTGTGAGAACAGATGATTGGCAAGAAGTAAATGCAAGTGAAGGGTCAAATTCTATTGCTATATTGCAGTTGAGAGGTAATGAAATTAAAAATAATTACTGCAACATTGTCGCCATCTGTAAGTAGAAGACAGAACAAAATACAAAAGACATCTGTTCTGAGACATTTGACAATAGGCAGATCAGGAAAAAAATTTTTTCTGAGAGATAAGAGAACCCAGAAGGTGAGTCACATTCAACTTGGCCCTTCTGACTGAGGCTAAAGTCTCAACCATAGCATACATAGGGAGTTGGGACCAAGCAGAGCTTGCAGACTTTGGACCAGAGCTGCTGATGCAGCTTCAACTGTGATGACACAGGACCAGAGAGAGGGGCCGTCAGATGTATGAATTTTTTGCAGGGAGGGGAGTTGTCCTTATGTCTTTGACTAACGATTAGGCTGCCTATGTGCTCTACTGAAGAGGGTAAGACTCTACTGAAGAGCAGAGAGTAAGATGGAGGTAATACTAATTGTCCAACAGAATCAGGAGATGTTGGATTTTCAGCCTGGAGAGAGTAGAGTGACTTTGCTAAAACCCCAGACATTCAGCTGAGCCCAGAACCCTAATCCTTAGGAGGAAAGACCAAGCTTTAGAGTAAGAGATACTCTTATCACCCTCATTCCGTACCCCAAGGGCTAAAACTCAGCAACAAGAGGATTAAGGAAGGTTGCCATCAAATTAATTACAATACAAAATGAAATACTCTATAAAGGGTTAAAGCATAGTAGAGGAAGGAAATAATTCAGATAAGGGTAGAAATCAATGAGATAGAAAAAGGAAAAAGAATAGGAAAAAATTAAGCCCATAATGTAATTCTTTAAAAGGTCTAATAACATTAATAACCCTTAGTAAGACTGACCCAGACAAAAACAAATTCCATCAATACTAGGGATGAAGGGAGATATGACTAGTCATACAGAAGATAAAATATTTGGGAGTATTATGAAAGCTTTAGGTCAATAAATTTGATAATTTAGATGAAATGGGCAACTTCCTTGAAAAGGGTAACATCAAAATTGAGGGGAGAAATAATAGAAAATCTCAATCACTTGAAATCTACTTAAAAATGTGAGTTTCTTAATAACTACATTCCCATGCCAGGTTTAAATATTTTCACACTTTACCTATTGAGAGATATTTGTTGTTTCTAATTTAGCTATTAAAAATAATGTTTATATGAACATTCATGTGCAATTTGTTGTGTGGATATAATTTTTTAATTCTCTGGAATGTATATCCAAGAATATGATTACCAGGTCATATGATAAGTGTGAGTTTAAAATCAATTTAGTCAACATATACTGTTTTATTACTTTCAGGAGTAGAATTTAGTGATTCATCAGTTGCATATAACACCCAGTGTTCATTATCAAGTGCCCTCCTTAATACCCATCACCCAATTACCCTACAGCTCTACCAACTTCCCCTCCAGCAACCCTCTGTTCAATTACTAAACTGTTTTTCAGAGTAGCTCTACTATTTCACATTTCCATTGCCAGTGTATGAGAGAGAAAGAGTGCATTTTTGCCACCACTTGGTATTATCACAATTTAAAAAAAAATTAGCCATTGTGAGAGATGTGTAGTGATTTTTTCATGTAATTTGGTTTAAATTTTCCTAATGACCAGTGATGTTGAACATATTTTCATGTGCTTATTTGTCATCTTCTGTGAAATGTCTATTAATATCCTTTATCCATTTTCTAATTGGATTGGTTGGTTTTTTACTGTTGACTTTTGAGCAATTTATATATTCTAAATACATGTTCTTTGTCAGATATGTGATTTGATAATATTTATTTCCAGTCTGTAACTTACCTTTTCATCATTTTCATAAGGTCTCTCATTGATCAGAAATTTTAAATTTTGTTGAGGGTTAATTTATCAACTTTGGATGAGTAGTGGTTTAGTTATCAAACCTAAGAACTTCATATATCTTTAGTTCTTAAAGATTCTGTTTTTTTTCCTAAAATTTTGTAGTTTTATTTATATTTAATTGTTCACTTTGATATAAAAGTGAACAATTAGCTTTGTATCAGGTGTGAGGTTTGAATCCAATTTCATTCTTTTGACTGAGGATGTGTATTTGTTTCAACATCATTGATAGAAAAGGCTGTTGTGCATTAAATTGCTCTTGCATCTAAGGCAGAAAGTCAGTAGGACATATTTTTGTGGATATATTTCTGGGTTCTTCAATCTGTTCAATTCCTTTATGTGTCTATACTTCTGTGATTATCATGCTGTCTTTTTTTAGTTTACCTACATATTAAGGATTTATGTAAACTATAGTGATTTCTCCCACTTTATTTTTATTTTTCAAGATTTTTAGACTATTCTTCATATTTCATACAAATTTTAGACTAAACTGCTTTATGTACACAAACTTGATAGGATTGTGATAGACATTATGTCAAACCTATACATCATTTTGGGGACAACTGACATCTTCACTATGTTGAGTCTTCCAATTCATGAATACAGTGAGTCTCTCCATTTATTTGGTCTTTTTTTACATGTCTTTTATTAGCATTTTGTAATTTTAGCATTTAGATTCTGTACATATCTTTTTTTAAGGCTTATGCCAAAGTATTTAATTTTATTGTTGCCATTATAAATGGTATTGTATTTTCAGTATTTATATATTTGTTATTATCCAGAAACGCATTTTGTTTTATTCTCATGGCCTTCAAACTTACTGAAGTTACATAATTCTATGATGATTTTTGTTTTGTTTTCATTTTTTTGGGTAGAGTATTTGAGATTTCTACATAGACCTGTCATTTACAAACTTGAAAATTTTTCCTTTTTTTGTTTTCAATCTGTGTGCTTTTATTCACTGTTTTGCCTTTCTGTGCTTGCTACAACTTCCAGTACTGTTCAAATCACAATAGGGAGGGAAAACATCCTCATTTGTTCCCAATCTTAAGGAAAATTTATTTACTCTTTACCATTAAGGATAATGTTAGTTGTAGGGTTGTTTTTAAACATCCTTTATAAAGTTGAGGACATTCTCCATTTCTAGGTTTCTAAGACTTTTTTATATCAAAGTGTGTGTCTAATTGTACCAAGTGCCTTTTTTTTTTGCTTCAGTTGATAAGATCACATAAATCTTTGTCAGCCTGTTGATATGATGGATTGCACTGATTGATGATCAAATACTGAAAACAATATTGCATATCTAGAAAAGCTACAACATGGTCCTGCTATACAATTCTTTTTATTCATGACCAGGTTTATTTGCTAATAATTTCTCAGTTTTGTTGTGTTATTGTCAAAGTTCATGAGAAATATTGGTCTGTGAGTCTGTGGCCTTCTTTTGTTGTCCTGATTTTGTCTAATTTTTGTATTAGACTAATACTGGCAATAAAATAAATTAGGAAGTATTATGTTCTCTTCTATTTTCTGGAAGGAATTATGCAAAGTCCAGGGTAATTCTTAAGATATTTGGTAAAATAATTCAGGGAAGTCCCTGGGGATTTGTGTGTGTGTGTGGGGGAGAGATTTTTAATTACAAAATAATGTTATTTAATAGTTACAGGAATATCTGTTTCTTTTTTTTAAGATTTTATTTATTTATTCATGAGAGACACAGAGAGAGAGGGAGGCAGAGACACAAGCAGAGGGAGAAGCAGGCTCCATGCAGGAAGCCCGATGTGGGACTTGATCCTGGGACTCCAGGGCCAAAGGCAGGCGCTAAACCACTGAGCCACCCAGGGATCCCCGGAATATCTGTTTCATGTGTATTATTTTGGTGGTTTGTGGCTTTTAAGGGATTGGTCCATTCTATCTCAGGTGTGGAATTTATGCAATTTTGTCATGGCCTGGTTTTTATTATCCTTTTAATAATTACAGAAGTGTTTTATTTCTGACACTTGGTTGACAGTGTGACAGATATTAATCAATGGTTGATCACTTCTCTCAACTTTGTCAATCCTTCTGGAGATTTTTCAATTTATTGAATTTACAAAAGAACCAACTTTTTCTTGTTTTCATACTGTTGTCTTATTTTTAATGTCATTGCATTTGACTCTTAGGTTTATTGTTTTTTCCCTTACTCCATACTTATTTTTAAATTTAATTTTCCAGTTCTTTTCTTTTGAGGGAAACACTTATCAACCTGTGATCTTTCCTCTTTTCTACTGTAAGCTAAAATTTGCTGCTCAGCATAGTTTGAGCTGCAGTCTGCAACAATTGATGTATTTTCATTTTAATACAGTTATATATATATATATATATTTAAG